TTTTCGATGATGCTGATAATATGTGGTAGTGTCCTGTGCAATTTTGCATGTTTCCTTTTGCAAGCGCCAAGCAGATAAATGAATTTTTATAAGTCTCTGGTAGCTTCATTTGTAACAGAGCTTGTCTTTTCTGTACTTAAATTATCATCTTTACACCGTATTTATATGAATATCTACAACTTTGTTGAGTTCAGTATAGATTTAGTACTTTTCTATGATTTTTGGTATTTTCTTAGTGTATTTGGTTGGTATCTGTTTGGTATCAGTTTCCAAAAATGACTTAAATTGATATCACATATGTATAAATTTTAGATAACAACTTGATTGAATCACGTTGAGTTAAATCATGAGTTGAGTCATTCCCTGAATCGCTGATAATGGGATGAGTCGTGATTGAGTTGAATCACAGGGTCCATGAGTCGTGATTGAATCGCTTGGAAAATCAGACTGTTTGATTGAGTTATGATTGAATCGGTCATTTCATCAAGTGAGTCGTGATTGAATTGATTGAATTTTTTTGAATCGTTTACAAGTCTGCACCTACGTGCTGCAAAAGTGGCTGCAGCTCCAAGCCAAGGTAGCCCCATGGAGCAAAAATAAATTTTACACAAACTCAGCATCCATCCCAGCTAGCTTATCCTCAGTAAAGTTCATCTGAAACCAGTTCGGGCGCAGCAAAGCACCGCGAGGACTTAGTTTCGGCTCCTGCAACGCTGTCTGCTGAACGTAATGCTTTCAGAGCCACACAGTCCCATTTCTACGCTCGACCTTACGATCCAGATCGTTGTCGAATACAATCCCTGCTGATGAAATATGATCCTTTCCCGTCGGAGAAGCACAGGACGGTTCCAGCGTAGATGGAAATACAGCTGTTTCACTGTGATATTTGAGACTTTCATCCCTACTGACGATGCAAGATATCATCCCTACTGACAATGCAAGATGTGGGCAAACATGTTGGTATTCAAATGTTTTGTATCACACACATTCTAGGAAGCAATTTGGAGTTACTGTTGGACTCAGCAAAGAGCAACGAGATAAGCTATACTTCAGCCTATTAGGTGCTCAACTACTCTACTTCTTTCAAGTCGATGATGATGATGAATTGGGGTTTTTGGGCGCCCGGACTACAGTGGTCATCTGCAGAGTTGGCCTGCGCTACGCTACGTTACGCACTACGTTACGCTACGTTTGCTTTTTTGGCCAAAACTACGATACCGAATTACGATACGTTATATATTGCTACGTTACTGAATTACGGTATTTGTTAATTAACGCAGCAAATTATTTTATCGTACTACGTTATGCAATATGTCATCATCCACTACCCAGTGGAAACGGTTAGTCTCTAGAAAGCCAAATACTGCGCACAATGATCGCCGGCTTTGCAGCATCGTCGGTGCGGCGGTGCCTACGCGCTACTCGCTAGATGCGCTGGACTTCCGAGTTCCGACAGGGAATTCCCTGGGACTCCCCAGTGGGAAATCCTCGGTGTCGGTCCGGCCGGAAGAAAGACTCAGTGGTATTCATATAGCAGGCGTCTCACATCCGTGTAAACGGCCGGAGGTCTGGTGACGATATGAGTAAACTGAAAAAAAATTATGTACCTTATACAAATACAGCTGACCTGTAATTGCTACGGAATCCATTTCGTAGTTCCTACGTTATTCTATTATTTTCCGTACTACGCTACCGAAACATCCCAATTACGCTACGAAACGGTACTGACAGCTACGGGTTACCGAAAACTTCAAAATAACGTAACGTAGGCCAACTCTGGTCATCTGCGCTTCTTTCAAGTCTTCCTAACAACTTTTAAAGTTGCAGAGAGCCAAGTGAATACCATACTATATCCTCAACAAAGTCCATTTTCTACCATTATTTTGATTTTTGATGGAGTGTGTGGGTCTTGGACCACCATCAGTGACAGTGTTTGTGCAGGCCTGAACAACCACTTACTATAAACTTCATTTCATTTTTTTGTGTGTCTAAAATGGGCTGAAGAGCTAAAATGAGCATGAGCTGAGTGGGCTAACTTCAACTTATGCCAACAGCAGTATCTTCTTAATTCTTATACAGTGAATATCTGTCTACCAGCAGCAGATTTGTGATAATACATCGATTTGCAGCCAGATTGACCAGCATAATGTTGTTCACAGTTTTGATAACAGACTCCTTCTAAAAAATAGCAACACATAAGCAATGTGATTTTGATATCAGCATCCATTAAAAAAAAAGAACAACACGTCACAAGAACAATGTGCAGGCACATTAGGTACCTAGGTATTTGATATCAGGGCCATGATATATCAGGGCCAGGACAACATACTTTTGATTGCATTGAAAGGGACACTCAGTACCATAATGATGGGTGGGCACCACATCACAATCACTTCCTCATTTAGGTGCAGTTATCCTGTAACCTTGCCAAGATTGCTTTTAAGCATTTTTTTAAAGACTTAGTTTAAAAGAAATCCTTCAAACTAGGTACTAGAAATGAGGCAACAAGGTCTTTGATAAACCAATACGAAATGAAAAATTTATTGAAAGATGATTTACAATAAAGTACCTAAAAATTTAACACTAGTTTGCTGCTGCTGCAGGGGGTTTCAAAATTGCCTATGTCTTCAAAACCATCCATGTCTTAGCATTAGTAACTTGCTCCTTTTTGTCACTAGAAAATGAATTGGGCTTTCTATTTACAACAAAAGTTGAACAATATATGTGAAGTACCATCAAAAATATCTAAGTGGAGTTAGTCATTTTTACATTTATGAGAACGGGAGGGTATCGGTAACCCTGGCGTCACCGGTAGCGTTTTCGTTCAAGGTTAAGGTTTCCTGTATTAGGCAGTATTAGGGCACCGTGCCAAGCCGAAGCATGTTGTGACGTCACTGGGGAAGAGAACGTACCACGCTATCAGTATCGACTGAGACTCAGATAGACTCAGAACGACTCAGGCAGACTCAAACTGACTCAGACCGACTCAACCGACTCAAATAGATTTCGATCGACTCAGACCGACTCAGAACGACCCAAACTGACTCAGACCGACTCAACCGACTCAAATCGATTCCGATCGACTCAGACCGACTCAGAACGACTCGACCGACTCAAAAAGATTCCGATCGACTCAGACCAACTCAGAACGACTCAAACTGACTCAGGACCGACTCAACCGACTCAACTTGATTCCGATCGACTCAAACAGACTCAGAACGACTCAGGCAGACTCTAACCGACTCAGGCAGACTCAAACTGACTCCACCGACTCAGAACGACTCAAACTGACTCAGACCGACTCAAACTGACTCAGACCGACTCAACCGACTCAAATCGATTCCGATCGACTCAGACCGACTCAGAACGACTCAAACTGACTCAGACCGACTCAACCGTCTCAAATCGATTCCGATCGACGCAGACAGACTCAGAACGACTCAGGCAGACTCTAACCGACTCAGGCAGACTCAAACTGACTCCACCGACTCAGAACGACTCAAACTGACTCAGACCGACTCAAACTGACTCAACCGACTCAAATCGATTCCGATCGACTCAGACCGACTCAGAACGACTCAAACTGACTCAGACCGACTCAACCGTCTCAAATCGATTCCGATCGACGCAGACAGACTCAGAACGACTCAGGCAAACTCAAACCGACTCAGGCAGACTCAAACTGACTCGATTTGAGTCAGTTGAGTCGGTTTGAATCCGCCTGAATCTGTCTGAGTCGTTCTGAGTCTTTCTGAGTCGCTCGAAATCGATCTGAATCAGTCTGAGTCTGCCTGAGTCGGTTTGAGTCTGCCTGAGTCTGCCTGAGTCGGTTTGAGTCTGCCTGAGTCTATCTGAATCGGCCCGAGATCTGCCTGAGTCGGTTCGAGTCTGCCTGAGTCGTTCTGAGTTTGTCTGAGTCGCTCGGAATCGATTTCAGTCGGTTTGAGTCTGCCTGAGTTGTTCTGAGTCTGCCTGAGTCATTCTGGGTCTGCCTGAGTCGCTCGGAATCGATTTGAGTCGGTTTGAGTCCGCCTGAGTGGTTCTGAGTCGGTCTGAGTCGATCGGAATCGATTTGAGTCGGTTGAGTCGGTCTGAGTCAGTTTGAGTCGGTCTGAGTCAGTTTGAGTCGTTCTGAGTCGGTCGAGTCAGTTTGAGTCTGCCTGAGTCGGTTTGAGTCTGCCTGAGTCGTTCTGAGTCTGTCTGAGTCTATCGTAATCGATCGGAATCTATTTGAGTCGGTTGAGTCGTTCTGAGTCGGTCTGAGTCGATCGGAATCGATTTGAGTCGGTTGAGTCGGTCTGAGTCATTTTGGGTCGTTCTGAGTCGATCTGAGTCGATCGGAATCTATTTGAGTCGGTTGAGTCGGTCTGAGTCAGTTTGAGTCTGCCTGAGTCAGTTTGAGTCTGCCTGAGTCGTTATGAGTCTATCTGAGTCTCAGTCGATACTGATGGCGTGGTACGTTCTCTTACCCAGTGACGTCACAGCATGCTACGGCATGGCACGGTGGCCTAATACTGCCTAATGCAGGAAACCTTGAACGAAAACGCTACCGGTGACGCCAGGGTTACCGATACCAACGGGAGTACCCCTTCAAAGAATCAGGAGTGACGTCACAGCATCCGCCTATGGTTTGCGGGCGAGTGACTGCACTGTACATATTGACAGCATTGCTTGATTTCTTTTCGGCATTACATGAGTGGATAATACACCATAGGTGAGTACCTATACCCTACTCGCCAGCCCCAACCAACAAACCAACAGGTATAGGTAACCAATGGACATTTATTTCATTACCGTACTAGCAAAATTCCAGAACAATCATCAAATATGATAACGGTTAGTTTATTTCTTTCGTCGAAAGGACGGTTAACAATAGAACTTCATTAAGATGACGGTGAATGATGCGCCAGGAATGCCGAAGTATTTCAAAGTATAATTAAAGACGACTTACAAAGAAACGAATTAGGGCACTTCAAGCGAACATATTCATCTCAACTAACCTCTCGGTCGCTCATCTTCAAATTTCACTACGAAACGCACTTCAAGAGAAAACGTGAACGCCGGGACAGCACACCACACCGACTCAAAATGGCGGCACGCGGAATTCTCAACAACGACGCCGACGCCGCATGGCGACGGTCGGACGCGACGGATCGCTAGATGGGGACACTGTACCAGCTGGCCTTGAACGTTTCCATTCATAAATGACGTCAGCTAAGAAACTATTCTCAAAACAAACCATACGATGGGCAAATTAGATTATTATTTCATCTTCTAAGGCTTTGAAGTATATTACTATACTGTCCTGATTTTTGCCTTCAGCTCTTTCAAAATAAAATGATAAGCTTTTCCTTGAAACACCAACTGTAAATGCTATGTGCTTCACTGAAGTATCATGTAGCTTTCAAGCAAGGTCATTTATTGGTTTGAAAGAAAATAGGTAGCTTTTTGCCTTTTACCACCATGAAAATCCTTCTGAATCGCTCCCTAGCCTTGAATAAATGTTTTTTCATTAAAAAGACGTCATCATAAAAAGAGCGTGGTGTTAAGAACACTACAGTATTTTGGGAAACCTTGCAAGGGAATGTATTTACGTTCGTGGCGCAATAGTTGCAAAACTCCTTGAAAAACATTTATAGGAATTTTGGAAAACATAACATAACTTAAATAGGCTTAAAAGTTAAAAGTTCATCGGTAACAAATCGGTAAGTAGATAGGAAGATGCTGGGTGTCGCCTTTCCTTTAAATACATGTGAATTTGATTATTATTCATTAGGTGGAGTGTCGGTAACAACTGACAATCAGAACAAGAACCTACCGCCCTGGCCCAGACCGGAAATTGGAAAACATACACCTTATGCTGAAAATGCCCGGCGTAGTGGCGTGATTGCGTCAAAAATTTCAGCACATTCCGGCGAAACTTCACATGCGTCAGCTTCAGCCTTCAGTGCATAGCAGCGGCTGAATTTTCTGGCGCAAGGTGGCTACATATTTTTTTTGCGAAAGTCGGTTACTGAATTTAGTGGGAGTGCTGGTCAATAAGGAGCAGAATCGCCCTGCGGGTGACTCTAGAGAGGTTTGGGGATGAGACATCCCCGCCCCGTTCCCAGACTGGAAAACATCTATACACTACTCCGGATGCCCATGAAACCCTCTTGCTTCGAAATATGGTGTAGGTGATTTTGCGCTGAAACTTCTGCATGATTTGCGCTGAAAATTGGGTGCATTTTTGTGCCTAAATTAAGCCAATTTATATGAAGCACATACACATATCTACCAATCAAGGCTATATCTAATCAACCAGACCAGACAGATTGTTTCGGGGCCTTGCCAGTCTGCAAAACGTGGCAGCCAGCTCGACGAGGTGTTTGGGGCAGCCGGAATCCTGCCCCAAATGGGGCAGTTAGCCTCCCGGGCAGTCGAATTTCTGCCCCAAATGGGGCATCTAATTGGGGCAGGTTAGATTATGCCCTAAATGTACTATATATAGCATAAAACTACATATCAATACATCACCCGCGCAAATTTAAGTCGGTCGCGGTAATGAGACTCGAACTTGACTCGAACAATTTTTTGAACGAAAGGATCTGATCATTGGTCAAGGTTATATTATATAGAGCGGCTAGTGTTCCGGTTAAAATGTGATGATGACGCAGTTGGGGTGCAAAACTGCCTCATGTTGCCATGGCAACGTCGAATCAATCGGCAGCGAGCCGCGAGGGGCGCATTTCGTTTTTGCAACCAAAGAGAGGCGCTACTCGGACAATGCCCCAATGCATCATTGAAAAACTGATATTACACCTCGTCTCGGCGATGATCAATGATCATCTAGTTGGTGGCTTAGTTTTAAGTGTGCAGAGTATGCTCGTCTCTTAATCTGTAGGTCGCGGGTTCGCAGCCGGTCAGTTAAGCGTTTTAGCACGCGTTCGTTTCTAAGTAGTAATGTGGATTATCATTTGGCCGGACGGCAATCATCGTGAGGGCTATACAGCACATTTACGAGTGTTCGATTAGGTCAGGTTTGGTCTGGTTCGGTTTGGTTTGATTTGGTTTGGTGAGGCTAGAAAGGAGTATCTCCGGGTAGCGCCTTTCCTTGGTTGCTAATACGAAACACGGCGTGTGAAACATTCATAGCCCCGATGAAGGGAAAACTCGAATATGGTAACAGTTACAAATGACAATTTCTGCGCTTCAGCGACGTTTGTAGCGCAGCTCACTTTTTCCAACTACGGACGCTTGAGCCCAACGAGGCTATGCGCCCTAACCCAACAAGTACAAGTAAGTCGCGCGTTTCAACAATACTCCGCTTCTTTATTTTCCACCGGTAGCGTGCACCCCGCCCCGGTCCGCCCCGACTCAGACCGCAAACGGTCTGCCCCGGAATTGCCGAACTCTGCCCCGATTTCTCAAAAGCTGCCCCGATATCTGCCCCCGCCCCACTGTGTCTGCCCCGACGAGATCTCGTCGAACCCTGCCACGTTTTGCAGACTGGGGGCCTTGGACGCTCTCCCATGTTTGAGCGTCCGAATAAGTTGTTAATTCCACCGAATCCCAATACTTCAATATGCTTAGCGCAATGTAGGGTCGCAATTTAGCGTCATGCCGTGAAACAAGGCCGGAGCCAGAATTTCCGGGGCCACAAAAATCAGCAGAGCAGTATGTTTGAGGCTGTTGGGAGCCAGCTATGGCCGGGCAACGGAGCAGCACGTGCTCCGGCACAACAACCTCTTCTCGGCACACGGCGCAGAGCGCCGCGGGGCACCTCTTGTCTGGGCACTGCTGACCAACTGCTGGCACACCGCAGACTGCAGAGTGGAGAGAGCCGATTCGGGGCACGTACTGGAGCGAGGGGCCCCAGTTGCCCGCCGGACGCCCTCATCTGGTGCACCGACACGGCGTCCTCTCGGTCCTCTCGTACTCTCGGGGGATAGGGAGCGGCGGCGTGCTCTCGAAGAGTGGCTGGAGTAGTGACTCGGACCAATTGTCGCGCCATTGATGCGAGGCCGCACAATGAACCACCCTGGTCAGCGAGCGGGCGTTTGAAGGCAGCGGAGGCCGGCCGCTTGTTTCACCAGGTCGCCCGCGCTCTCATTTCTCTCGATACTGCACTGGGTAGGAACCCATTGCAGTATTACTTTACGAGTTACGACGCTCGGCGATGTTCAACAAGGTCTTCCATGCCTATCTCCACGCCGAGGGTTGAGGCCTCACCTGGGCGGCCGCTTCTCCGCTGAGTACTCAGGGCGGCTCGCCAGTTCGAGCACGCGACGACCGGGACGGAGATGTCGGGCCGATGTCTCGTCCCGAAACCTCTCCAGAGCCGCCCGCAGGGCGAATCTGCTGCTAGATAGACCGGCGTGCCGACTAAATTTAGTGACCGTCTTTCGACAAAAAATTATGCGGCCGCCATGCGCCAAAAAGATCCGCCGCCGCCATGCGCTGAATTCGGCGCATGCGGAGTTACGCCGGACGTGCGCTGAAATTTTCGGCGCAATACCGCCACTACGCCGGACAAATTCGGCATAATAACGTGTATTTTTTCCAGTCTGGTCCCGGTCACTGCAGCTCGCCGTCCTGACTCACGAGTCTACTCTGTGCCCACTGCCCAGCGCCCAGCGGAAGAGCGGCCGCCCAGGTGAGGCCTCAAACCTCGGCGGGAAGATAGATACCAATGGAAGACCTTCTTGAACATCGCCTAGCATTGTTAACCCGCGCCCTGCTGGGGGGGGGGGGGGTGTTTGAACACCCCCCTTGTGGTTTTTCGCGAATATCTCAAAAAAGTTTTTCGCGAATATCTTTCGCGTTTTTGGTACACCTTATCATACATCAATTCTACACATGTTGTGAAAATTTCAGACCAAGGTCATTCAAGGTCAGGTCACCAGGTCAGTTGAAGTGACCTCACCTCATAAAAAAGTTTTAATGTCTGCCATAGCTACACCGAGTGACCGATCGCTTTGAAACTTTTAGCGATTGCTAAGAGCAATAGCATATACAAAATGTGTATCTCATAATTTTGATATCGATGACCTAAGGTCAGGTCAATTTTGCGACCTCCCCATTTTAAGTCAAAGGGAGAAAATTGAAATGCGCCTCTTTTGGACAAATGACATTATAAACACTCCCAAACACTGAATTACAAGTGGTTTAGACACACTGAACATGAAAATGGTGTCTGTGACCCCTGTTTATGCCCCTGAGGTCATCTTAGGTCACGAATGGTATCTAACAGTTTTTCGCAAATAACTTTTGATAGAGACACGCTAGAGCGATGAAAACGCCTTAGATGTGTTCAGCTCGACGATACGGATCGACTGATATGCAACATGACCCTTTCCGGTCAGGTCATGACCTTGACCTGAGGTCAAATTTTCAAGTTGACTTTTCAAGGTCAAGCTATGGTTCATTCGATGCGTCTTGACGAGAGGAACACGATGCCGGTAAAAGTAAGCTCGCACAAGGCTTGGGTCAAAAGTTATTGCAGAAAAACTGTTTCCGAAAAATCGGCTATTTTTGCAGTTTTTGCCCCCTGCAGGCAAAACCGTTGACGTTAGGTCAAATCTGAGAGGATTAATCAGAAAGGGCGTTAATAGGGCTATCGAATGCGCTTTTCCGCGGCGCTGTAGCTCTATTGGTTCCCGAGTTATGCGTTGGCTTCTTGGAAATAGTCGACATTCGACCTGGAAATCGGCAAAATTTTGCCTTCAATGACCTCTGGTGACCTGACCTTTGACCTGACCCAAAAATTGACCGAAGTGATTTCGTCATTATTTTTGGCGCTCTTTCGAACACCGCCTTCCGCGTTTCGCTACGTGGCCCAGGAGCCGAGTTAGAAGGGTGTTCAGACTTCAGACCCCCCCCCCCCCAGCGGGGCGTGGAAATCCAGGACCCCCAGCCGGGCGCGGGTTAAGAAATACTGCAGTGGGTTCTGCATGCTGCGGTATAGATGGGAATGAGAGGCGAGAGCGTGGACGACCTGGTGAAACAAGCGGCTGCCCTGCCCTCAATTGTCCACTCGCTGACCAGGGCGGTTGATTGTGCGGCCTCACATCAATGGCGTGACAAGTGACAACTGGCCCAAGTCACTATTCAAGCAACTCCTCGGGAGCATGCCGCTGCTCCCTATCCCCAGGGCCCAGAGAGGACCGAGAGG